GCTTCCCTTTGGGCCCTTTATTTTGAGAAACTCCCATTTGGGAGTTTCTCAGAATCTTCGCCCTTAGAGCCCGGTCAGGGGCGCCCTCATATCCTACACCCTTGACCCCAAACCCCAAACCCTAAATCCTAAAGCTTAAAGTTCCTGAATCCAAAGCCCCAAGCGTTCAATTCCCTTCTGACACCTGCAGCCCCTTGGCTCCCGCCTAGAGCCTCAAACTGAGAACTCAGTGTACACCACAGGGGTTTAGGGTTTAGGGTTGAGGGTCTAGGGTTTACGATTTAGGGTTTAAGGACACCACTGGGGTCTAGGATTTAGGGATTAGGGTTTAGGGATTTAGGATTTAAGGTTTAGTGATTTGGGTTCAAGGTTTAGGGTCCAGTTGCCAAAAGTAATGGGCTACTTTGACCATAAGTAGTAGGAATCAGGGGAAGTAGCATATAACTATGGGCTACTGGTGTTCCAGGCAAGAACCACATACCTAGACCCCAAACCCTAAACACTAAGCCCTAGACAATAAACCCTATGACCATAGTCAGCTTTCCAACCAGTCTCTTACTGCTTTGGATTCGGATTGAACCAACGTGCTCTCTAGGTATTGTATGTAGCGATTCATCTACTAGTCAACGTCATTTAGGTTTCGGGAGTATATGACAAGCATATAGTGTACCTTGAACCCTTCGGGTACTGGGAGAAATCCCCAAAACCTAAACCTAAACCCTATAGTCCCCCTCAAGCAGATAGAATGCGGCTTAGGGTAAGATCCCATATACCCCATACTCTATCTACTTAAGGGAGGCTATAAACCCTAAACCGAGTTCCGAACGTCAGTGATGGACTCAGCAAGATACAGCCTTGAGGCCCGGAGCTTCATGCTTTAGGGTTTGGGGGTTATAGGCTATAGGGTTGCCTAAGCATCCCAGGACCACAAATAACAAGGATTCCTCAAATCCATCATAGGAGTTCCCTTATCCAACACATTGAATCCATATTATCCATGGTCTTAGGATGCTTATGGGTTTAGGGTACTGTTCCATAAGCTTAGCCCACATTACCCCAGGGAGAAAAAAGCATCCTTTTTACATAATAAATATAAGGAATCCCATACCCCAAAAAGTATAAAGGATCCCTAACATTGACCCCGTAAGGGGGAGTCTAGGTGTCTAGGGTCTAGAGGGCTTAGGCGGCTTCTGGGATTTGCAGCATGTAGTTTTAGGGTCTGGTGTGTGTGTGTGTGTGTGTGTATGTGTGTATGTGTGTGTGTGTATGTGTGTGTGTAGGGTTTAGGGTTTAGGGGTATATGGGTTTAGGGTTTATGGGCTTAGGGTTTAGGGGAAAAATATTATGTTGCAGAGGTTTATGGTATATAGGGTTTGGGGTGCGAATCCTGCATCCTAGATACCCTAGAGGCTCAGGCCCGCGACACATGGAAGTTGTATAGGGCTCTTCCTGACTAGCAGCAAGGCAGAAAAATCCTGCACCAATCTTGCAAAAGACGTGGGAAATGAAACACATCGCTATCCCATTCTTGACCCTACTTTCAAAACCCTGCACGCTACATCCTAAACCCTTAACCCAGATCCCAAACCATTAGGATAATACCATCGGACGTCGCAGATGTTACGCCTTGAACCCCAAGTCCTAACCCTGACTTGAAATCCCAATTGCCGCACCCCAAACCATAAATCCCTAAATCCACAATCCGTAACCCCTGAACCCTAAACGGGGCCCTAAACCCTAACGCCTAAAACCCTAAATCCCTAAACCCCCAATGCCTATACCCTAAACTCTAAAACCTAAAAATAGTTTCCATGCTGTTTTCTGTTGCCCCAATAGAACCCCTCTATATATTTATACACCCCAAACCCTGAGCCATATGGCCCTCCCTTGTTATCCCAAACAATTCGGCCCAAGGTCATTTGCATGGCCCGCACGAGAGCCCTTGGCTTAGCAGCGCCCTTCTCAGCCTCCAGGGTTTTGGGTTGAGGATGTATAGGCGATGTTTGTGTAGGGATTTGATGGGGTGATCTGGGATTTAACAGAGTTTGGGGCTTAGGGGTGTAGGGGTTTAGGGTTAAGAGTAGAGGGGTGGGCAGCAAAGTATCCCCTGAGCCCTAAACCCTAAACGCGTTAATGCTTCCTACCTCAAGTGCAGTGGGTTCTAAGCCTGCAATTTTGCCTAGCGTTCGGCGATTGGGATGCACGGATGTATATCTTGAGGATTTACGTGTTCAGGTCAGGGTAGGGATATGTTGATGTGGGGTGTAGGGCGAGAGCTCGGGAAACATGGATTTAAGGTTTTGTGTTTTTGGGGCTGCCCTAGACCCTAAACCCTAAATCTGGGATTAGGTGTCTGCCCCCTATATAGACTAGTGTCGGGGTGGCTGAATGGCCTTCAAAAACTACAACCCACGGGTTCAAATTTGGGTTTGGGGAGCCATTAAACCCTTGAACCTCAACGCCTCTGAACTTCCAGCCCCAATTCCCAAGCAGGGTTCATGGCTTGGGGATGAGGGATTGGGGTTTAGGGATTAAGGGTTTGGGGGTTTGGGTTTACGGGTTTAGGCCATAGAGCTGAGGGTTTAGAACTAAATACTCTGGTCGGCGGGCGTACCCAGATTCCGACTCTGTACGTACAGCTGCCTGCAGCACCATGTATACAGGGTAATTTAGAATGATTTCAATTCCCAATTTAAGGCCGTTTTGGTAGTATTCCCTAAATAAACCACCATTTAAGGTGAGGTCGGGTGAGGTCGCTTTAATTTGCCCCAGTGCATATTAGGGTCACCTTAAAAATGAAACCCTGAACCCTCAAGCCTAAACCATAATTCAACCCCTAAACCCGAAACCCCTAAACCCTAAAACCCTAAACCTTAAATCAATCACCTAAATGCACAGCCTCAAAATCACCTACATCCATGGCCCGGGCCCTACTTGCAGGGCCAGCCCGACTCTGCAAGTGCATAACCCTAAGGGTCCAAGGACCCAAATACTGGGGTCCCTGTAAAGAGGTTATACGGGGATAGATAGGGATATATTGGGACTATATAAGGGTCCAGGGACCCAAATAATTGAGTCTTAGGGCCCAAATATCTTTAAATATTATCGTATCTGGGCCCTAAAATCCTGTCTTTTGGGTCCTTGGACCCTGAGGGTTTTTAGGACACCTGGTTTCGTATATAGAAGATTCAAGACATAAAAGTTAGGTGTCTTGCCAAAGGGGTAGGTTAGACGGGTGAAGGTAGGCTTTAAACCGTATACGTACTCTACAGGACTCTAAGCCTAAACGCTAAAACCTAAAACCAAAAACGCTATAAACCCTATAAAGCCTAAACCCTATAAACCCTGTAAACCCTAAACCTTAAACTCCTGTAGATATACTCTATGGTAGTCCTACTCCTTGACTTTCCAAGCAGGATGCTGAGTCCTGCCATGCTAAAGCTGAGATGGGCCTTTTCGCACGCAGCACTGTCCTCCACCCCCCTTATACATATACACATATATAGAGACATATAGATAATACATCCAGCGGTTTAGGGTTTAGGGGGAGGGATTCACTAAGCAATGCTCAGAAGTATCTAGGGTTCAGGCTTCGCAAGTGGGAAGCAAAATGACAAATGAAATGATGTTAATTACGACAAACCCAAATCAAAATGGCCCAAAAGCCTTTCTTTGTATGGTCTTGGGGCCCAAAAGCCTTAAAATATGAGCCGTTAGAGCCTTAGGGTAAGGACCTGGGTTCCTAAACACTAAACCCTAAATCCCTAAATCTCTAAACTCTGTACTCCTAAACACCAAACCCTTTACCCCTAATCATCCCTAAACGCCCAAATCCCTAAATTCCTAACCCCCCAATCCCTAAGCCCCTCAACCCCAATAGTAGTTTCCATTTTTTCCAGTATCCCTATACAGACCCTATATACCCGCTTATAAACCTTCAACCCTGAACCCTTAAAACTTTGAACCCTAAACCCTAAATCCCTAGTCCCCAAGACCCTTAAGCCCTGAGTCCCTAAACCTTCATTCCCTAATCCCTAAATCCCTAAATCCTAAACATCCCTAAGCCCCTAAAGCCCCAATTGTAGCTTCCATTTTCTGTTCCATTCTCCCTATACAGACCCTATATACCCACCCTATAAGCCTTCAACCCTAAACCTTTAAAACCCTAAACCTTTCAAACCCTAAACCCTAAATCCTTAAACCCTACATCATAAAACCCTAAGCCCTAAACCCTAAATCCCTAAACCCTCAAACCCCTTAATCCCTAGATCCCTGAACCCTAAATCCCTAAACCCTAAATCCCTAAACCCTACACCCTCAAACCACAAACCCTCCAAACCCGAAACCCTTAACCCTAAATCCCTGAACCCAGGCCTGTTCGAGGAGCCGTTGGAGCTCGTCGTAAAGGCGCTTCACGTGCTCTGGGCCTCATTGTTTGGAGTTTAGGGTTTAAGGGGTTGAAGGGGTTTAGGGTTCAGGGGTTTAGGGATTAGGAGATAAGGGTTTAAGGGTTTAGGGTCTAGGGGGTTTAAAAGGTTTAGGGTTTAGGGCTGATTGCCGTTTGGTGTTTAAGCGGTTCACAGTTGTTGTTTATGGCTTTGGGTGGTTAGGGTGTAGGGTTTAGGGTTTAGGGGTTTAGAGTTTTAGGGGTTTTAGGGTTTAAGGGGTTTAGGGCTTAGTTTAGGGTCTTTAAGATTAAAACTCCCCCTTTAGTAGATAGAATACGGAGTATGTGGGGATCTTTTTATGATACTGGGCAATGGCGTATTATGTCTCCTGAAGGGCACTATACCTAGACCTCTATGCCCTACCCCTTTTTTGATATCCAACTTTATGTCTAGCATCTTCTACATACAAAACAAAGTACCCTAGAACATTGGTAGGGTATAGAGGTCTACATAGGGCGGGAGAGCTCCGAAGGAAGGGCCAAACTCGCGTATGCCCTGAACGAAAAAGACCTGGATCCGGATATCAAAGCCTACTTCATGAAAACCGTGCAGGCGACCAAAGCCAAGGGCTCGCCCAGGCAGCGAGTCTGTGGGGAGTCCACGGCCAAGATGCACTGGTATCAGTTCCGCAGCTTCGCAGGCTTCATGAAGAAGCAGGGCCTGGTCGAGGACTTCTCGAACCCAGCCAACCTGCTGAAGGACAAGAAGCTCCTGGACAGGTTCTACCAGCACGTGGAAGAGGAGCGGGTACGTAATTAAGATCAGGTTCGTTAGCAAGGGTTAATTACCTTATTTGGTCTAGTTTGCGAGGTTTAGGTGGAAGTGCGCGGCGAGTTTTTCACCTTTATCATTTAATTAAGGAGGTACAAGTATGAACTTTGAGCCTTATCTAAGGCATTCGTGGACCAGACGAAGCTTGGAGTGAAGGTCCTCTACCTGGAGATAGACCCTGTGCTGAGGGACTTCGCCTTGGGGTGGCACCTCAAACTGCCGGATGACATTGCGGAGCCTGAAATGGTGCTCACCATCTGTCACTTCAAGGTGCCTTTACTTAGTGGTTTTTCCCTTTATCCTACGCAATTTTATGTTGTGTTGACCTAGGAATGGCATTACGACGCCGTGATTCCACTTGGGCAGAAGACGGTCTCCAACCGCAAAAAAGGGTATGACTTGTCTGGTCGCAGGCCGGAGAGTCTGCTTCCTCACCTTATCATTAGGTTTTCTCACCTTATCATGCTGCTTTCTTACCTTATTATTGGGCTTCATCACCTTATTCATGTGCTTAATGTAAACATTCTCGCAGGCCCCAGAACTGTAAATAGCGGTCCTTGTTGGCGAGGAGACCCTGATACACCTGGATGCGGACGTCGGCTTGCCCGCCAAGGTCCATGCCCTGCTTCTTTGCCGACTCGATCAGGGACAAATACTGGCAGTCCCCGTACCCAGGGACCTTGAACCTTTGGAGCTTGTTCGCTTTCAAGGCTTGGTCCAGGTTCTGGATATGCTCCTCCATGTCATGAGCCTCGTTTAAGCTTGCCACCATTGCCTGCATGCACAATGTAGTCTTGACATGACCGAAAGCCAATGATAAGGTTGAAATGATCTCACAACCCTTAGATTTTGAACCTCCTAAATAGAATGATAAGGTGCAATATTCCCTGTTGTTCCTTGTTACACCTCCTAATGCGAATGATAAGGTGAAAAGCGCAACTTCTTTCGCCTGTGTCAGCAGCTCATCCTCCGAGACACCGAGGAGAAGGGCGGAGCGGGCGTATGCATCCATGTTTCCAAGAAGAGGATGAGAGGGTGGGAATCCGAGATCACTGAAATTGAGAAGAAAGCTGTCATTGATAAGGTCAACAATGCTGCAAAGTTTGAAACCCCGAACATAGTGTCATTATTATTCACCTCCTTAAATGGATGATGGTCAAAGAATGGACTGACCCTGCTAAGTAGCTAGATACCCTCGAAGCTGACAAGAGCCTACACGCAGGAGCGTTTGCAGTGCTAGTCGGAATGAAGGTAAACGGCCTTGTCGAAGCTCACTAACGCACTACAAGTATGTGGGGCGAGATTGGGTTCAGGGTTGAGGGCTTTAGAGGCTAAGGATTAGGGCGTAGGGTGCAAGGCTTAGGGTTTAGTGGTTTCATGGGTGTAATATTCGCGGACTCCTGCGGATATAGCTGCCTTCTCAACAAAGTGCAAGAAAACTTAGTGGACACGATTTGTTCAATGGGATGCTGCCTCAGAGCAGTAGAGCTGTCCTACCCTGAAAGCACTCGGCAGGTTAGGGTATGAAGCTTCTGTGCAGAAGGCATTATATGATTACATGTGATTAGTTATTTGGAGGCCCGTGGGACTTAAAAAAAAACTACGTATAACTGGGCTTATAACCCTACTCATAGTCCCCCGAAATGGACTTAAGGAGGTTACCCCGATTATAAGTAGGGCTATAATCCCAGTTATAAGTAGTTACTAAGTCCCATGGGCTTCCAAGTACTCCTACCGAGTTCTAAATTATCCACTCAGACAGAGGGCCGGTTCGTCGAGGAGTATACTGTACCCCCAGACCCCATCACCCATCCATATGAGCCATTGTCTAAACTCCTAGTATCCCCCTTATTAAACCGTATAGTAGTCCCCTATATAATCCCCTATGACCACCCTGTAGGAGTTTAGACTATAGCTCATGTGAGCTACAGTAAATATTTCCTACATATACTACTAGCTGCACCTTGCCGCAGCTCCCATCCCCTGAAGTCTCGCACACGAGGAGTGCGACGGTGGTATCCTTGGTAGCCACCACCACATAGCTCCCGGGCCTGCAGCGGCGGCTGAGTTCAGCTCGGCAGCCAGCTCCTTGTTTGCCTTGTAGCATGCTGCTAAGACTGCCAGGCTGAGTCCGAGCACATTCTCACCTGGCCAGAGGCGCGGATACTCCAGTGCATAGTTTCGTTCCTCTAGTCCGACAGCCGACTTCCTGTCTGACAAGGACAGTTCAACCGTGAGCTTGGCCGGCTTCAGATACTCCTCGAGTCCGGAGACGCCATCTGAGATCGCCTTGCACGCGTGTATGTTCAACTGAGAGCAGAAGCGCTCAGCATCCCACGCGCGCCACGAGTCAGGCCTCAGGGTCCTGCCCACTTGCAGAGCTGTGTCTGCTGATATTGGGGACTATACTGAACTGCAAGGTGGACCCCTATGTCCACTGTTAAAGATCCCTTTGTAAGGCTAATATTGAAAGTAGCTTCTAAACCCCAAACCCTAAACCCTAATCCCTCAACCCTTCGCCCTAAACCCCAATCCCTAAACCCTACCCGCCAAGCCCTCAACACTAAACCCAAATAACCACAGCATAACCTACCCTGAGACCCGATGGAAAGAACTCCTGCACTACCACAAGCCCCGCACTTCCTAGGATCAAGGATTTCCTGGAAAGCCTAGTTACCCATAATAATGGGCTACTATAACCCAAAGTAATAGGAAATTAGGGGAAAGTTGCCTATAATTATGGGTAGCTGGCTTTCTAGGTTCAGACTTGTACCCCGAGGGTTGTACCCTGGGTTTTGGGATCCATTCAAGGGACCCTAGTGGACTATATAGGGGCTATATTACGGCCATATTTGGGAAAGCTTCTAGGGTATGAGCTTGGGGGTACAACCCTGGAACCCTTGATAGCAATTGAAGGACATGAGGGGCCGCTAAGCGGCTTAGGGTGTAGGGTTGAAAGTTCCACCGTAAACCCTACCTTTACAGCCCAGTTACCCATGATAATGGGCTACGCTTACCCAAACTAGAAGGAAATCAGGGCAAAGTTGCCTATAATTCAGGCCTAAACCCAAATCCCTCAACCCCATTACAAGAAGACAGTAGCTCAAATGGGAGGATACAGTTGGAGAGGGTAGTATTGCAATCCTTAATATTAAGGCGGTCTAGAGTAAATACTTTGGGTTGGGGTCGCCTCGAGGTTTTCACGTTTAGGGTTTTGGGTTGTCTCGACTAAGTCATCATACCCTTGCCTAAAGCTTATACCATAACTACTATAGAAACCCTGAACCTAAGTCCAAATACCTGATTAGTCGACAGTTACTACCTACTCTACCTACTTGAATTTCAAGCGGCTTCTTGAGAACTGTATAAAACTCCTTACCTCAAAGCCGAAACCCCTGGACAGTAAACCCTAAACACTAAACCCTAAAACCCCAAACCCTAAACCCTCAATCCCAAACCCTAAACCCCAAACCCCGAACCCTACATCCCAAACCTTAAACCCTTCCTAGAAAGCCAGTTACCCATAATTATAGGCAACTCTACCCTAATTTCCTATTACGTTGGGCTAAAGTAGCACATTATTATGGGTAACTAGGCTTTCTAGGTTAACCCTAGACCTTAAACCCTAAATCCTAAAACCTATGT